CCGTAGTCGTTGACATAGCATAAAATTTAATAAATATGATGTCATCCAAACATAGCTCAATAAATGTACCAATTTCTTAAACACGACTTTTACCCGCCATTTATACAACAATATCCTCAATCATCATACCACCATGTTATATCATGTTATATCATATGACTACTTTCAGATAGTGTGACAGCAGTAGTAACAATATTTAATTATAATGTGTGTCTCATAAAATTATGAGCATAGCCTACACCATATACTCCTTTGAGCCAATTTACGCATGCTCTAAATTTCCACACACCTCTTGAAAACCTTTTTTGAATTTCATATCTCCCTTACTTTTCGGATGAAAATGTTTGCCAGAATTTCCAGGCGAAAGAGTTAGGCATTGAGGGAGCCACCATCATGATGAGGCACAGACAATAATTAATAATAGAACTATCTATATATCGTTTTAGATAAAAATTTCAAACATCGTCTATTATGTTTCATGTTTTTTAGAACAAAATTTTGTCCCTCGTATTTCTGAAACTAATTATTATATATTTTCTATTATTTCTATCACAAATTCTCGTATCATCAGTAAAACAAGGTTAACATAGGTAGACATATTTTGAAATATGGTTATGTTTTATTTATTTATTTCTATTTTGACTATTAGACAGAAAATGTTAATTAACTGATAATAGCAACTCTATGGTTTAGCATATTTCAACCAAGGTTTTCATATTCAACAGATTCTTCTATTATTCAATGTTAATATAAATATGCAGCCTATGCAAATTTCACTTCATACATGAAATAAATGTCTACGATTATTAAATTTTATTAGTACGTGGCCGCGTGGCATTAAAAGCCACTAGTCGCTTAAGAGCTATTAATATGAAATTAAGCGCTTAAATAACGTAAACGTAAGTTTTAAAGACATGTTTAAGCAATTCATTGTCACACCCTTAAGACCCCACAAATTGTTCCACGCGGCCGAGAGGATTTGTCATACTACAAGTATATATACTAGTACCTAAATACATTAGGGTGTTCATTATATCTCCTGAAGTTTCAGCTTTTGCCCTGAAACCAAAGATCCAGCATAAGCAAACACTTTATTTCCACTTTAAACCGTGACTACATGACTTTTCCAAAATATTTTATACAGAATTATTTGATATTTTACCTTAAAAGAGTTAACCTATAACTTCAAAAGAGTGATATTCTAATACATAACTTTCTCTACAAAGAAAGTCTAGGGCCCTACTTTGTGAGCTGATTCAGCTAAAACTTTGCTCGAATTCGATTTTTTTATTCGATAATTCGATTTTCTCATTTTCAATCCTATTTCCGAATAAAATATTCGTTTGCTTTTGAGTTGTGGAATACAAAAACGAACAAGTAAGGAAGGGCTAAGTTCGGGTGTCACCGAACATTTTATACTCTCGCATGATAAAGTGATAATCGAGATTTCAGGCGTGGTTGTGAACCGATTTCACCCATCGGACGGACAGACAGACATCCGGATTTCAACTSTACTCGTCACCCTGATCACTTTGGTAACCCTATATCTGACTCTTTCAGTTTTAGGACTTACAAACAACCGTTATGTGAACAAAACTATAATACTCTCTTTAGCAACTTTGTTGCGAGAGTATAAAAATATAAGTATTCCGGCACAGGGCGGTACAACTTTCGCATAATTATAAGATACATAGCTCCGAATATCGAATAGAGTATATTTTCGAATCGATATACAGCATAGGACCCTTAAAAAAATAAAAAAATAAAGATTTTTCATAAAAATATTTCGTAAAAGTTATATGCACATCAAGTTATATATCAAATGACCCCAGGCGCTTGTTGAGCCTTGCAAATTATATGTTACTCATACGACATGGTGTACTATATGAGTATAATACATTTGATGCAAAAAATCATTGACGACTTTTTTGTAGAGCATTCAATTTCCCATCAAACTATGAAACAAGATAATTTTTTGAATTGTCCTGTCGGATAATAAGACAAAAACAAAAACTGTAAGACGGAGAACCTTCCCGCTACAATTAAAAGCTCATACTTGGTGAGACTTTCTTAAAGGTGAATAAGAGCCTATTTTTCAACCACCCTAATACATGTGTTGATGTGTTTTATGTGTAGGTAATATAAAGCTTGAGCACAAGGATGTAAAATTTTTCAAGCAAAAGTGCTGAGAAATGTGCTCACACAGATGCACGCAATTGCAATCAGGCAATGAAAATTTTGCACCAAGCACAAAGCAACAAACGAAACAATTGCGGATGCTGCGCCTTGGGTGATTTTCCGTGCCGCGTCCGTATATATAAATGCCTACATAAGCACTTTTATGTATCTTATATAAGCTGGTAATCCAGTAGAGATTTGGTGGTTCAGACTAGCATATTTTCAAGAAACAAAAGAACTAGTTCGTAACAGAAAAGAATTATTATTGTAAAACCAGGATGTTTGAAGAAATGACTAGGTAAAAGTTAGTTTTTTCTTCGGAATAAATCAAGCTCCAACAGTTGCATAAAAAGAATAGTAAATATATATTTTCTAACTTTTCCAATGCCATAAATATCATCCTCGATCAGTAGCTCTGTCTATAAAAAAAAAACGTTTCAATTTGGCTCCCTTACACCTTTTTGTAGCTATATTTGAAGTTTTATTTAAAAACTTCTTATTCCGCATTTCGCATACTACTGGTGGTACTACTGGTCCAAGAATACAAATAGATTCAAAATTTGCTACCAGGAATGTTAGAATTACCATTTCGTCTGCAAGAGAACACATGTATGTATATACATATATATTGTACAAGCACTCATACCTATATATAGCATAGGCGTATAAATAATGGCTTAGAAAGCGGATGTGGAAAACGCTTTAGTCGTCACAGTTTCGTGGCCAGCAATATGAGCAAAATTCACTAACGGAAAAGATAAACGAAAAACTTGACTTAAATTAGACTTGTTGAAATAAATTGTTTGTGTTAGCGTTATTTATTGTTTCCTTTCCTCTTCGTATATTTGCTTAAAGATTAAGTCAAGAAGGCTTATTCGAAAACCTTGGTTAAAATTTCAACAAAACACTTATGGAATTATAACGGAATCAATCTGACAGAACAGAGGTTCAATCTGTCCGCTCAATCATCGTCTATTGGGGATCAGGTTCACCATCTCTTGGTATCATGCTTTTGCTGTCATTCAACAGGCTGCAGAAGTCTTCCCTTTATAATTTCAGTATGGTCTAGGCAGCAGTCACTGGATCACCTTGAAATCTGTTGTTATCGCCGCTTATTTTCGTAGAATTTTCGAAAATTATCCCTGTGAGGCAGCTTAGCAAGCTCTTCGTCCTCACGTATTTCGGCCTTTCTCATTTTTATCAGCAAATACGTCTTGCTTCCCTCTTCAGCTCTTAGTATCTATCCCATCTCGCACATGGTGTGGTCAATAGTAACGTTGCGAGGTAGGCAATATATTTTCTCTCCACTGCGACACGGCATTCCTCATCGTAACAGCTGTCCTTTTACTTTATCCGAAAATCAATGGTTTCGTTTACAGCTGTACTTAAGTAGCTTGAAATGCCGTCCTGCAGTTTCCTTATATCGAGTTGTTGATGAGAGCTCTAAGCAGGAGTGCAAGTCGAGTGGAAAATCGTTCGGCGGTCTGTTGTGATTGCAGCTTCTCGACGTCGAATCTTCCTTGTGTTTGCGTATCTTGGCTGCAACAAGATAGCGTTCCAAGCCAGTGCTGGGACCTTGGAATGTACGCACGTCTAAAACACCGGAGACACATGAGCCCAAATCAGCGATATGTTGAATCAAAACATCCATCGCTTAAGTATTAATATATGTATATGCTTCTTGTTTGAGGTTATATCGAAATAAGAAATAGTTAGATTCTATTAAAATCACACTGTCATAGAAACTAAAGGAACTATTCTTTTTTCTGCATAGCTTCTAACGTTTGGGTAACGAAAAGTAACTGATTTTACTAATAAGTCATTAAATCTGTGCGATCGCTTACTTATACTACATAATTATACAATTTTTCTTCTTCTTCTTCTTTATGTATGCTAAATGTTAGACGCATTAATAATATATTAAGCCTACATATTCATTTTAACATTTATAAAATTATTTCATATTTCTTGTAATATACACCATCTTTGCTCACACATTATCAAATACATGCAAATATATAGCACTCACACAAAGCTAATATTTACCGTTAATTATTATATATGTTAATTAACAATTTTCATAATCTACTCATTATAATATGTATGTATGTACTTGCAACGCCGCTTTAAACTAATATGTTTGTACTCTCTTAACATAAAGTCTTCAACCGCTTCACTACGCACGCCTTAACGCACACGAGCACTGTCACAATTTATTAAGCACGTGTGCACAGCCAGTAGTAAGTATGTTTGTACATATATAAGTCGCGTTGCCACTACTCAGCCACTTTCTAGTCACCACTTGCCGTCGGCATGCTGCTAAAAGCCGATTCAAAAGCTCGCAGTACTAGCACTTTACCTAATATACTAACTCTATATATGTGCATATATTTGTAAATATCTTTGCACGCATATATATGTATATATCACTCTCTAGCACCATCTTATGCATTTAAGTTTACTCTTTAAATATTTGAGCTGCTGCTTGGCATGCGAATAGCTGACTACTTTAGCGTTTCTGTTTTCTTCAACACTTGATATTTGTAATTTTCCACTCTAACCCCAAATCCCATCGCCCACAAATACCACCTCAATCCTTAACCACAACAATAATGTCCAAACCCCGTCCAGCATTCCATATCCAATGCTAAATAAAAAAGACTAGCCATCAACTGCTATCCCACCACTTATGTAATTGCGTCCAACTATTCCAACAAAATAACCCAAACAAAAAACAACAAACATAAAATATTAGCAAAAAACTATAATTAAGTGCAGTGTAAGAGAAAAACAAAAACAAATCGTTATTCACAATTTTATAGGAAGTGGCCGAGCTGCGACGTCAGGTGGCACTCGAGAATTTACAAAACCAAAGAATGGATAATCTGGAGCAGGATGTACCTGTGGAATTTGAATGCTGTTTTTGCACAACGAAGGTATTTTCTTTTTATTCGCTTATAATTAATAAAAATCGTAATAAATTTACTTTGTAAATACACGCACCAACATAAGCCAATAATCTAATTTGAAGCAGAAGCTGCAGTACAGCTGTAATTAAATTAATTGGAAATGCATGCTTGTTTATAAATAAATTTTTTTTTTATAATTTTTTAAAAAGTTATCATTAGTCTTTATTTATTTTTTATTTTATTGCCAATTATGAATTTGTGGTAAGCACTTTTTACTCGTATTCTGAAATTTTGCCGTTGTTTGCATCGTGTTTTACTGCTACTTTTTATTTACATTTAGTAAGAAAAAATCTGTTTTGCACTGTTTCAAAATTATATCTACTAAATTCATAATTTCAAACATCATTTTACTATATGCTGGTTAAAAATGTTAACCCTTAATGAGACGCGTGGAGTTAGAAATTATTTGTTTTAAAAAAATAATTGCTTTTCTATTTGTTTTTGGGGTTATACATATGTCTGCAGACACAAATTGTTACTAAGTACTAATGTCAGCAAAATATAGTAAGACTTTATTCATAATTTTAGAGATCTTAATTTCTTCTTCCAAACCTATGTCGTCTCGCTCGCTCTCGTAACCCCCATGCCCCAATACACTTCTGCCAACGTTCATTCCTATTTACGAAACAGTTGTTAAAGTACATTTCCGGAGCTTAATCAAGCAAATAAGGATTTAATTTTAAAACTTTTAACATATTTTTCAAATAGCCAATGTTTTTTCCAACCGTCGACAAGCTTCTTAAAGTAAATTTCCAGAATAGTCTTCAATGCGTGTAGCGGTTCACGGATAAAGTCTTCAGTTGACTCAAAACTGTTTCCCCGAAGCGATCGTTTGATTTTGCTGAATAGCCAGAAGTCTCACAAAGCCTAAACATGCGAACACGGTAGTTGCGGTGCGATATTGGTTGAAAACCTGTCAAAAAACTCAATAAAAATCAATGCGCAGTATGCGACGGTGCTTTATCGTGGTGCAAAATCCAAGAGTTGTCGACCTATAATGCCGGCCTCTTCTTACGAATAGCTTCGCGCAAACGACGCATAACATTAAATGGCATTCCTTGTTAACAATTTGAAATGACGAAATCTGTCAACAACCTTGATTTTCGACCTACTTTGATATGAGTTTTTCGTCTTCGGCTCACCTTTGACGCGATATTCGGCCGATTGATCGTTTCTTTCCGAGCCGCAAGCATAGATTCAAGACTCATCACCAGTAATAACACGTTTTCAAACATCCTGGTAGAAGGAAAGTATTGTCTCACAGTCATTAACGCGACACTGTTTTTCGTAAAAATCGAGAGATCTTACAACCAAACGTGCTTTCACTTTTCTTAGACCCAATTTATCTTTCAAAATGGGTTTCACTGATTCTTCCGGTATTTCAGCGATGCCAGTAAGATCTCTGATTAATAATCACCAGTTGATGTTGATGGCGTCCTGGACGTGGTTCGGCGTCAACGCGTTCTCGATCCTCTTTGAACAATTTGCGCCAATCAAAAACACTTGCTCGTAACAAACAATTACCACCGAACAATTATCACCTCTTCTAACATTCGGAACTTTTCGGCGCCATTGATAATGTTTCTTAAAACTAAAACAATGACGGATTTTTTTATACAAATTTGATTATCTATTAAAATCAACAAAACCAAAAAAAAAAATATATATATATAAAATATCGTAAAATGGTAGTATTTATTACTTCATGTGATAAAGAAATAGTTTTAAATTTCAATGGCAAGTTTCGATGGTTTCATGGTTGGTTTCGACAAAAATTTTAAATTTTATTCATTCGCAATTTTTTTCTCAAATACCCATATACAAATACTAAAGAGAATATTTTTGATTTGTATTACTTTCTTAAAAACGCTTTTATCTCAGCGTTGGATTCTTTAAGACTCTAGTCGTCAAAGTAGGGTTAATATTTTCGAACAGCGCCGCTATCAGCATCACTAACTTGTTTTCAATCTGTCAGTATAATTTTAATCCATTACAATATCATATTTGTTCATTTTCATTGGCGCACTACAGCACTTGTATTTACTCTAAACTTTGGTTAGTAATCAGTTAGTTTGACACGTTTTTGCCTTACAACACAAAAAATGTGATATAGATTTTTTTGAACTTCCGTAAAGAAACCCATTGTAGCGTAGTTTCAAAAAATATCTAGTAGTTTTAGCAATAATGTAGCTTAATATTATATATTTTTACCAAATATTTATTTAACGGT